TGTTGTCCGATGGTGGGGGTAAAGAACCGCAGAGGTTGGCAACAGGAAGTCAGCATCGGCGGTCAACGGTGGGGCCGAGAACAGCGGAGTCAGCGGAATTGCATTGTCAACATTATCGCAGTTGTGACGTCGAAGACGGGGTGGGGGCGATGGATCGTGAAGTGCTGACTTGAAGTGGAACGCATAAGCTCTTCGATAAATAGAATGTTTCGGCTTGTGTTTTAGGCAGGAAATGGTTTTAACTTTTTGTGTAAATTGTGTCAGAATTTTTGCGCATTGTTATTAAAATTGTGTAATAACTTATTGGGCAAGAATTTGTATACTTTTTCTGGCTTTATTTTGAAATAAGAGTATTGAACTCTTAGGGTGCTAGGGTACCAACTCAAACATTCCCCTGTTCAAAGAAATTCGGGGTAGCTCGGGGTGTAAGTCTTTACACACATATTTAAGGACCGCTCAGGATGTAGATGCTGCAGTCGACATTCTTGTGACCAAAGTCTGTGGCGCTTCTGCTGATGCTACCACCGACGGCCCTCATGGCAGTCGAACTTCACAGACTGGAAACCACAGAGGCGGCACTTTAAGTGAGGTCGAAGGGCGACTCAGGCGCGAGAGCACACGCACCGCATCCATGACCCGTAGGTTGACGGAGTCTTCTGGAGAGTGGCTAACCGGGTAAGGAAGAAATTGGCGACACAGAGTACCGATGCCGCGGATAGACTGCTATCGCAGGCTACAGCAGACGTACACTCAAACTACGCCCTTTGGAAGCTGACAGGACGCTACAAGCGGCAACGTACACCCCGCTTTCCGGTAAGGAGGTCTGACGGTGATGAGACCCACCAGATGGAGCTCCATGTGGCCAATCACATTTCAAGAAATCTCGGAAGACATAATGACATAAATGACAATGTTGTGGCAAAGGCGCTACCAAACAGAGCGATTCTGTATATTTTGCTAATCTTTAAAGCGTCGTTAAGATTAGCATACTTTCCTAAAGCCTGAATATGTGCCCACATAATCATGCTTCCAAAGCCAGGAAAGCCACCGAAAGACCTCAACAACCATAGTCCAATTAGTCGCTTGTCAACTTTTGGCAAAATGTTTGAACGCTGCATCCTACGAAGGGTACTGGAGTCGCCGTTGGTTAAAACAGCCATGCCAAACTACCAATTTGGGTCCAGGCTTAAGCACGGCACACCCGAACAACTGCACAGGGTAGTGGAACACATACTAGACGACTTCCAAAACAAGCACTGTAGCTGCTTACCTGGATATTTCGCAGGCTTTCGACCGAGTGTGGCAGGAGCGCCTACTCGCTAAAATCAAAATGTTGCTCAACCCTCAGCTGTATGAAGTTATCAAAAGCTGTCTGACGGAGAGGACCTTCCGAGCTTGGGCCGACACTGTACTGCCTATGATTCCACAGACAATCTACAGCAATACCTCAAGCTGTTTGAAAACGGGGCCTGCCGATGGAACATCTCCACAGACCCTGATAAATGTGCAGTGTCGCCGCACACTTTAAGACTGGGCACACATACCTCGGAGTTACACTGGATGCACGTTTAACTTTCGACAGTCACATCCGTAGCGTGAGGAACAAGTTGGTGGGTAAGGCCCAGAAAATTTTCTGGCTACTTAAACAAAGCAACAGCTCAGTTTAAAAAATAAAATTAGGATATATGTGGTATTTGGCAAATGGCCAAGGACCATAACGTACCACTTGTTGGTGATGTTATCAACAAGAAAGCGAAAAACCATATTTGTAGAAACCTGAACAGATAATTGAATTAAATAATAATATAATTGGCTTGACACTTGAGTGTGGTTGTGTTATGTAAACATTGCGACAAGGTGTCGAAATAATTTATTTATTTAATCGAAATAATTAGTTGGCCGATCCGAGATAAAAAACATTATCTCCACATATGTACATATTACATAGTTTTTTTTTTATTATTAGATGAACAGAACACGGATCATGAAATTCATGATTTTTTCGCTAAAATCATCTTTTATAAAATGCATGAATTTTCCGTACAATCATCGCTTAAAGAAGCTCTAGATGACAATGTCATCGACTGTGCCCTGGGACCTCTCTATATTAATGTCAATAGTTCAGCGAATGGCGGGTCATCGTCTATGTCATTGGAGGTAGTGACGTTGAAATCGTCGCGTCATCAGATGAGCCATCGACGGTCTGCTCTGCAGGAAAAGGACGCAGAAAAGGGCTGTGTGTGTGTGTGTGCCGATCAGGTGCTGGTAAATGTAAGTTGGACCGGCAAGGTTGAGTCAACTTGGATTCTCTGCAAGCGCAATCGGGCGAAGGACCAGAAGCACCGAACGACACGTTCGATAAGCCATTGGGATAGATGAAAATCTTCCAAATATTCCTCAATCACTAACAGGTAGCACAGAAATACTGAAGCAAACCACCGTGAGCACAGGCACCCATCAGATATTCGGCTAAGCTCGAACGGGTCTATAATAGACCTAACGTTTTTGGGAGCACTTATGCACCGGGAGTTATCACCATGCCCTGATTTCCGAAATCGGGTACAAGACTGACACTCTAGAGCCGGATATGGTCCGAGCCATGTTGAAGAACTATTAGACCAACGGGGCGGCCGCAGAAAGAGCCAGTCAGTTGGACGAGAGTTGACTGGTGGAACTTATCTATAGCTGGCGCCAGGTGGGAGTGCCATCACAAAAGACGGCTATACCAACAGTCGAGCGGCTCCCCGTCATTCGAGAGGAGCATATAAAGAGCAGATCAAGGAGAGCAAGTGCAAATGCTTCTTCCAGACCATGGAAGCGACAGCTACTAGTCCTTATACCTATAGGAAAGAAGTCGACCGAAGAGCCATTATTCTACAGACCACTCTGCATGCTGGACACAGTGGGTAAGAACCTCGAGCGGATAATTAACACAAGGCTGGAGGAAGTAGTAACGCGTTAACTCTCCCCGAAATAGAACGAGATAGAAGAGCGAGCTATAGGTGGCACCCGATGAATTTACGGGCCAAAGAGTTCTGCATAGTAGCAACATACGACGTCCGAAATGCGTTTAAGTCTGCTAGTTGGGACCACTTATTATAAGCATTGAGAAGGTTCCAAGTTCTGCCGTAATTGCAGACAATCATCGCTGACTACCTTAGAAGTCAAGTTTCATACATGAGACAGATAAGGGGTTACGTGAGCACCAAATCACTGGAAGAGTCCCGAAATGATCAGTTCTTGGCCAGCTGCTGTGGAACGTCATGGATATGGATTGATATGCCAATGGATGGCACAGTGACAGGTTTTTGCCGAGCAATAGTCGCGGTTTTTTTTTTTCTTGATTAACAGTTAACAATTTATTGAGGTATGTACTTCTTTGTGGCTTAGTGGTGGCTGGTGGGTGGTGAGTTGGTGACTGTGGGATAAAAGGGTGTTTGAGGGTAGAGTATTGACTGATGGAGCTCAGTCCATGCGGTGGCGTAGCTCCAGAGGGTGATATCTTTTAAGCCAGCTAGTGGTGGAGCTGTTGTCCAGCAGGTTGATAGCAAGGGGGTTGATGTGCCTCTCCACGCGGTTCAGGTAGGCTTTAGTAAGCCTGGCGGTTCCTCGCGGACCCAAGGGTCTCCAAGCTCGCTGGGTATGTCCTTCGTGGTATGGAAAATTTGCGCGTTGGTAATTATTCTGAGGGCTCTATTGAGGAACTTTTGATTAAGTTCCCGGTTGCAGTGGCTAGAGCGATATGCCATATGTCCAGATAAGCTTGAGTATTGCCTTCGGAGATTTGGAGCTTGCAGCGCACCCTCAGAGTTGATCGTTTATCCAGCAGCCATAGATGCTTATTATACCCGATACTCAAAATTAATATAGGGGTATATTCGATTTTTGGTGAAATAAGATGTGTGTAACATCCAGAAGGAAGCATCTATACCCGAGTTGATTGAGCCATGGCTGTCCTTCCGTCTGTTCGTCGGTCCGTCCATATGAGCGACTAGTGCCCAGACACTATAAGAGCTGGAGCAACGGTATTTTATATCCAGACTTCTGTGATATCTCACTGTTACAAGTGTATGTCAAAACTTCGGCAGCCCAACTCCGGCAAAATCTGTGGCATCCAAAATTTTAAAGATGAGAGAATACTAAAATCGCAGAAAATTGGAGAATAATTTTATCTTCTAACATAGACTGCAGAATCTGAACCATTATGATGAAAACAATATGATTCTCTAGCTCTATCTCTCTCTAACACACAGGTTTAATGGTCGGCTAAAAACGCACAATCATAGAAAATGACCATATCTATCAGATTGCTGAACCTGGATCAGATCGGATCATTTTTATAGCCAAACAGAACAAATCAATTTGCAATGGCTACGCAGCGCCCGACGACACGCTCAGACTGATTTTCTGTCTCTCTCGCATGCACTCTTTGTCGTTTTATAGTAGCGGCGTCTGCCGCAGTAAAGCTATACTGACTAAGTATCGGGTATAAATGTAGAGTTGCGGTCTCCGCAGCAGCTCCGTAGGCGAAAAATAATGAATAAATAAATAAGTATGTCTGTATTTATGCATGTACTATGTATGTAGTATATATAATCATCATTGTTAAGCTTTCATCTACATCAAGCTTATCCGTGTATGAAGATAGCATTCGAATTCAGCCTAAAATAGATCATGGCTAAAGAACTATTTAGTTTGGTTTAGTTATTTTATGCAAACTAAGCGATTTGCGGGAAAGATATTCCAACACATAGGGAATATCAATACTAAATGCACTGTCAGTATTGTAAAGCCTACAGTCTGCGTAGCCTTATGCACACTTGCAAACTTGCACTTTGAAAACTTTTTTTTCTAATAAATTTGGAAGTATCTCTTATAGCTCAGAAGCTATCAATATATCAAGCTGAAATGAAGATCTAAATTTATTTAATACTATGTATTGTTCTTATATAATATATAATATATGTCTCTATATAATATATAGACATACGTTAAAATATTTAAAATGTACTTGCGCCGTAGACTCTTTCTAGGCTTTTCGTCATATCATCTATATTAGTAACTAGCTTTTCCAAAACTTCTTCAAGAAGTGTTATGCGTTGGTTCACCCGAAACATTTTCTTGTTTTTAACATCTCTTGGAATAGCATTAAAGTAAATTGTCTCTGCTGCGGTCATGTTCCTCCTTCGCACAGGCTCCTCAAATTCTACCGTAGTAACATCCAGATCAGCTTTTTTGGCAGTAGCCGAAGGGCGTGCAGTTTTTGCCCGAAAAGGTTTGACCCGGGCGAGCTGAGCCCGAACAAGCTTACTCTGAGTCTTACAGATACGACAGTAAATCCAGTAGACGGCTCCCGTTAACTTCCTATAAACAAAGGAGGCCAATTGTGTTCCGTGTATGTCAGTTCCACTTTTCACTGAGCTATAGGACTCCATGATGATGGCAAGAAATATGTTCAACAATATGAAAAACACAAGCAGTATGTAAGTGATGAAGTAGATGGGACCTATTACTCGATCGGACTCCTGAATTAAATTGTACCGAAAGTCGCCCAAGATCATCCGTATCATAGTCAACATTGAAATCACTAAGCTATAGAAATCTGGATGATTACTGCCAAAGAGCAAGAGTCCCAATCTAGCATAGATCACAAAAACAATGCCAAACATTAAAGAGAAGCCAGCCAAATCCTTTGAGCACCTTCCTAGTGTCGTTGTCCACTCAACAAGTGTCTTGTTTAAGCTGATGAACTTAAATAATTTGATCCACACGAGAAAGGCTAAAACAGCCATCATATTCACATAAATGATATTCGAGAAACAGAGAACATCAATACTTTGATAGACCTCTTTCTTCTGCGCCTTGGATGTTATGGATTTCACTTCGATGGTGTGCCAGACGTTGTATACCAAAGCCAGATAGCAAATCGTCAATAAAAACCCCTCTAGAATATTTAGAAATGATTTGAAGTGCATTTTGAATCCCGACAACCGTATTTCATTGATCTCTAGGATGGTGTAGTAAACGATCATTATATACCATACAAGATAGAGCACAGTCATTTTTGGATCGGGATCGGTGAAGAAAGAATATTGTTTAACAGTTTGTAGACGCGCTTGGGGTATGACAACACCCGAGGCAGGAATTTCAGCCATAAGTTTTACGCTCTGAAAGATGTCTGTGTTTTCGTTAAAGAGATTGAACTCCACCATACACAGCCTTGAACTGCGATCTAGCCAATTTATGTTCTTGAGCTCATTAATCTTTTGCAGGTTGATATCCTTATCGTAGGTTAGATCAACAGTGTAGCCGCCAGAACTGTAGTAAGCTAGCAGAGTCCAGAACGGTGTTGCTTCGACTTCTCCCATCGTCCTGTACGGAGAGCCTTTATGCGTCTCGGTTCTCTCCTCAGCCCCCTGAGAATAGTCGTCATAGCAGGTATCAAAATACCAGCTCATATAACAGCTCTGCTTGTGAACGCGAATCTGACGGAGGCGCGGTGGGCCGAGTAGGAGATTCTCGTGCATAAACCTGCGTGCCCGAAGATTTTCGATCGGATCGGAACCACTTACAGATGTTACCTTTTCATCTTCGTCCTCATCAAGCTCACTCATATCTCCGTGCAATGTTATTAAGAAATTGTATATTAAGTAGTCCCACCAATCTGAGACAATGAGAATATTCTCAAAACAGTTCGTTAACGACGGCGCTACAACTAGACTGCGAGTCACAAATAGTTTCTTTGTTGTATCGTTGAAGTAAAACATGTACGGGCTCCGCACGGTGAGAGTGATCAGCGATGTAAGGCCAAGAAAGACGATAAACACAAGAAACTCGAAGAGAGCATCACGCACCTGCTCATCGGTGGTATAGAGAATACGTGTTGTCTTCAATTTAAGACCTTGCGGAGCTTGCTTACTACTCCATAATGAACTCCGTTCTGTTGGAAACTTCATTCGTCTGAGCCTTCGATTCTTAATTTTCGGTGTATTTTGGGTCTCTGATTCACCTTGTAGCTCAGACGCCATAGTGTTTTGATCGTCAGGTGGAGAAATATCCACTACGGATACCCGTTGAGGCCCCTGTGAATCCTGTCTATGACGCAATGCTGGTTTCTCCCCGATGTTGACATCTTTAGAGACACCCGGCTGTGTCGGGTCTGGTTCCTGAGCCTGGTCCTGTGAGTTCATTTTGAATAGGAAATTTTCCGAAGACGATTGAAGAAATATGATTTCACAAAACTCAAATAGCAATCTGGAAATAGTGCCTGCTCTGATGTGACAGAAGCATTCATCCAACAAAAACATATGTTTTATTTGACTTACGAAAGCAGAACTCTGGCTTCTGATTCAATTTGTGAGTATAATATACATAAGTTAAGAAAATTAACACTTTTCTAGTCGCTAAATTCATCGGTTTTCTTTTTCTGCTTTGACTGCTACCTCCGAATATTTATAGGCAAAAGCCATATCTGAGTAGTTACAAACAGTTTTAGCAGACTAGTCGAAGAAGTTTCCGATCTTTGCTGCTTCGACTGAGTCAATTCAAACACATTCAAATAAAGCGGAGTATGCCAGTGTTGATTGCAACAAAATCACCAAAGTGTGCCTTAATGGTTTACGGTGCGGCAGCGACAGTAGGCGCGACGACAAACAGTGCAAACTACATATGTATGTGTAGCAAACGAAATTAAAATTTTCTACCACTAAAATACTAAAATTTTTGAGTTTTCAGTGGTTAATTGTCGTCTTGGATATTTGAGGTAAGGTTTAGTACCTCCTCAGTTCTTCAAAAATTCTCCATAGCGATCAGCTTTAGATCTTTCCCGCCATGGTCAATTTATCAAGTTTTAAGATTTTTACAAAAGGTGAAAATTGGTGGGCATGGACTCCTGGCGCAATATCGGAGAGTCTTCCATATACAAAGACGTATTTCCGTGTAAAAAAAGTTCAAGCCCGGATTTTAGCAGCAGCACTCAAATAAAGCCTCTGCGTCCTTATGTACGTTCAGTTAAAGCTTCCCGATTTACCCTAGTTGTGGCAAGCTGTTAAGGGAGTCATATTTAATAGAAAGACTATCTTGGAAACCAAGGTATGTTAATACATTTGTAACGCAATTCGGATTCAAATTTTATGAAGTCTACTGTAAGTTAGGCTATCGTTATTGGCGAATTTGTCAAGCTTTACCGCAGTTGGTTAGCTGGGCTAAGAAGCAATTGTGAGAAATAGAATAAGTCGTTGAAAGTACTGAAATCGAACGAACGCCTATTGTCGCCTATATTTTTTCGTTACAAAAATATAACCGATTTGCAGCCAACCAAAGTGTTCGGTTTTTATATTAGAAAAACTGTTCTAAAATTAATTAAAAGTAATTAAATATTCACAATAATATAACTCTGCGGTGTCTCAAGGAAAGCTAGATTTTTATTTTCATGGATAGAATTATCGCAGAACCGCTTAAAGACGGTATCCGTCTAGACAATGTGTCCTTGTATAGTCTCCATGTTGGTCAATGGTCAATTCTTCCATGTTTCTTGAGAGCTATTCTTGGCTCCAAACGTTCCGTTTTTGAAAATTATATACGAAATGTTATCGGAAAAGGGACCACACTTGACTTGCTACCATTGTAAACTGGGCGGGATTCCAAAATAATTGTCATAAAGTCGAAAATTTTGTTGAAGCAAATATCAATTATATTTCAAAATATTCAAAAATATACCTGCCACGACACAGACATGTTCTATCTAATTTGATTAAAATTGTTTTTATATTTATTTATTTATAGTTTATTTATTTTTTATTGTTTAGAGTTCAACAATGGTCAGGTAAACTGTATAGGAAATAGTTACCAAATAAATTGCCAGTTTTTCTAAAAAAATTCGAGATTCCAAAAAGTTAAATTAAATTATTCATTGGAGTCGATTTGACCTTGATGGCACAAGTGTCAGAAGAAAACAGATGGAAAAATGTTTTCGAATTACGGCAAACGTTACGGAAAGATTCGTGGAAAAAGTAGTGACTATTTCTTCTAGATTGCATCGGCCTGCACAAGTATATGTCAAAATTAGGCCCCACCCCCTTACGCCCCCGCACAGCACGAAAATCTGTGGCATACACAATTTTGAAGATTCGAAAAAATATAGAACGCTCAATCATAGACAATGACCATATCTACCAGATTGCCGAATCTTGATCCGATCGGATCCCGACGACACGTTCAGACTGATTTTCTGTCTCTCTCGCACACACTCTTTGTCGTTCACTGTTAGCGCCGTCTATCAGAGGAGAGCCATACTAACTAAGTATCGGGTTTAAATGTAGAGTAGATCGCAGCAGCAACTCCCAAAGTTCCCCCTCGTTGCGTAGTTTGAAATCGTGTTTAGGAATACTTCGTTAAAGCGCTCGAATCAATCCGCTCGATTCGTTGACAGGTACTCTACCACTACCGATAGTCCGCAATTGATCTGAGACATTTTCAGCTGAAGTTTCTTTACATATGTATGTAGCTCCATAGATTCGATAATTTAAGGCAAGAGTTTATTTCGTCGGTAGGCGTTGATCTTGGAATTACTGGCAGCGCCGCCTAACAGTATAATCATAGCGCCTCCAAAATATATCGAGTCATTGCGTAGATCTTTCAATGTTCGGTTAAGTGCTTCTAATGCACGTTTATCGGCCAGGTGATGATTTTCAATGCTGACAAAACTTTGGCCATTACGGAGTTTTTTGCCATATTACATATATGTTCTTCAATTTTTTGAAGATTTAACGGTTATTTTAATACTGAATGAGCCCTAAGGCATCCTTCTAACAATGTGGCTTTTTTCGAAAATAAGCTAAGCCCATTGACATGAGGAATGTCTTACTAGTTCCACCAGGGGCATCCAGGAAATATAAACCACTATTTCCATTATCAATTGCCTTCATTAATGTGTCATAAACTTACTTTTGTTAGAGATTCACTAGGGGTACATATGTTTGAGCAGCTAAATTAATTTCATGCCGTTCATATTTCCCGATCCAGTTCTCGATTAAATGCGTCATTCATTCTACGATTTGGGGCTGGCATTCCTAACGTGTCTGAAAAACTACAGCATAAGAGGTAACACATGTTTTCGATCAATAATAAAGCTTTATGTATATCCTCATTGATTTGAAGATCGGGATTTCTGCAACTTACAGAATTTTGATCTGAAATATCTTCTGATATAATACCCTTATATTTGTGCCACAGGTTAGATGGGTTCTATCTAATCTACCTCCCCACCAATTTTCAGCCAAATGGGATCAGCCGTTCTTGAGTTGTAAATGGTGTAACTAACACGAATTTCTTTTATATATATAGATTTTGTATCTTAGAGCCTTATTAGAGTTTTTTGTTCGTTGGGTACATTCTTGCGCTCTTGCGTGGTATTACTGGGTGTATTCGAAAATGTACAGCATTTTCCAGGGTGCATTTGAGGATTTAGTATTGCGGGTGCATTTCAGGATGTAATTTTTCTGATTTTTAGTGAGGCTTTAGAAGGGCGTTGCCATGGCGTCCTATGATAAGAAATAGATTTGTATACCCGATACTCAAAATGAGTATAGGGGTATATTAGATTATTAGATATTAGATGGTGAAAATGGATGTGTGTAACGTCCAGATGGAATCGTTTTCGTGTCGTTTAATATTAGCGGCGTCTGCCGGAGGAGAGCCATACTGAAAAAGTATCGGGTATAAATGTAGAGTTGCGGTCGCCGCAGCAACTCACAACGTTCCTCCTCGTTTTTTCGATAGCAACGACAGTTCTGTTGACTTTTATCAGTCAGCAGAACAGATACGATCTGCAATCGCAAAATATTGTGTAGATCGTAATCAAAATTAGTAACCTATTTTTGTGGTGGCCCTTCTCTTCTTCGAGTCGGTCTCTAGCGATCTCTGCCACCCACGAAATGTCATCCTTTTTTTCTTCTCGTCTCTTTTGCGCGTGCGTGGACAGAAACATGATGAAATTATACATGGTGGTCCGCAAACTCTCTCTTTATGTAGTGTTCCGTTTGCGGACCATGGTGTATAACTCTCTGGCTGTATTCGCTTTGCTATTTGTTATGACATTAAACTGTTACTATTCGGATCAGAGCCCCGCCGATTAGCAGCTTGCCAAATAGCAGCCCCTTATTGGCTTTCAGCTGCATATTTTGATTGTTACTAATTTCTATGTTATTCGTGCTTGCCCTGCTAATCGTTCTCTCGACGCTCTGCGTTATCTACGCTTTGTGCTTGGTTATTTACATATGTATGCCCAGCGAGGCTGGGCGTGTTCTTATATAATCGGAATAACTACTCGGGTAATTGGGAATACAAAAAAATTATCTCCACATAAAATTTCGTAGCACCGACGTGATCTCTGAACTGTTGTGTCGATTAACAATCTTATCGTTAACCTTAACATTTTTTTGGAGTTTGTACAACAGGCCGGCGAAAATCCTCTAGCTGAACCCTCCACGAGGGTGCCGGCTGGACAATGGACATTGCATTATCCCGAGACAATGCAGTGTCTAGCTAAGGCAATGGGCTAGCGTCTGGAACTGAGCCAGGGCCATGGCTAGAGGTGCCTGGCGGTCAGGCATAAAACGCTAGGGGGTGGTCCCCCCGAAAAACATCAACCACGTATGGACCTTCGGGCCAACTATGGAGGGAGATAATGAGCAAGCACGGGTTGGGATGTCAACCCAAACGTCGGTGGAAAGCGTGACTGCTACCACCGGCGGGCACGGGGAGGAACAATCCTCTCTGCGTGTCGCCAGCGGTCACACCTCGGATATGGCGGGAGCAGGCCATGTCAGTTGTAATACTACTGCTACAAAAACGACGCATTGCAGGATAAGCCGCACCGGTGCCTCTGTCGATACAGACTCGGACCTGGAGAGCGTGCTATCCATTAGCAAGACTGAAGAAGAAAGGCTTCTCCGCTCGCCGGAACCAGGTACCAGCTCCCTGCGTAGGGAGGGGCCGAAGCGTTCCAGGGAGGGGATGAAGGCAAAGGCACAGTATAAGGCGGCCCTCAAGTTACATGGCCGGCTCCAAGGCAAGTCGGATATCTCCCAAGAGGAGAAATCCAAGCTAGCCTGGGCGGAGCAACGAGTACAGAAGGGCCGCAAACACTACGCGCAGCTGCCCCAGATGCAGGCGGCGAATGGTGAATTCG